ATACCTAGTTTTTAAGTAAGAAAAAACAACAATACGAGGGGGTTATTAAGAAATAATACAAAATTTACAAAACCAGCTATTATGCCACGTGATGGTGACATGGCATTTTTCTATTGGATAGTCGATGCGGGTGTTAAAATCCAAAGTTTCAGAACGAACAAGAAGAAGATTAATTATTTAATTTGTGAGAAGAGAGAACGAACGTAAAGCTTGGTCCTTTAACAATGGCGGAGGAATCCGAAAAAGTGTCTTCTTCAACATCACAGAAATCATTTGATCACAAGCAACCCGAGAACAAAGATTTTAAAACTCAGGTCTTTCACTTCCTTCGATAAAAAATTCCCAAAATTTCGTAAATTGATTGATTTGTCTCCGTGTTTAGAAACCTCACTGTTTTGGTTTCCAAATTCTCCGACAAATTCTCCGACTTCTCTCCGATTTGAATGAATGAGTAATGAAGGGTTGCTCTTAAAGTCTTACTCTTTAGGTGATCTATGGCAGATTAGGGGTTTCGAATTGGGAATTGTATTTTCAGACCGGTATAAGCGTTTAACATTCCTGATTTTGTTTTCGAATGTGATTTTTTTTCCAGGCTCAAGGTTCTTCTGGGTTTCGAAGTTATCCTCATGGATTGAATCCAGTGCAGTACGAGGAACATATGATGAATCGTGGAGCCGGCATTTATGCGGTTCCTGTCCATACATTTGCAGGACATGTCACTGGTCTTATGTCTAACAATCTTATCCCACTTACATACAATATACCCACGTACGTACTATCCTTTCTGATAGCTTTTGTAGCGCTCAAAATGATTCTGCTTTCTTCAAGTGTGACCTTTTTATACATTTGACATTGTTTCTATCGAATCGTAGCTTAAGGAAGTTAATTGGTTTTGATGTCTATGTATGAAAGGCATAATACTTAGTTCAATGTCTTGTTGCAGTACAACAAGTTTGTCATTTTGGTTATGGATACGAGTAGTTTGGTTTCGGATTAGTCAATCTACAAGTAATTTGGTTTTGGATGAGGCTGCTCAATACTCAAATGTTTATAGGAAAATAAGATTTTGGAAATAAATTCTTGTGTTAGTCTAGTGAGAGCATAATAATTAGCCTATGAGTTTGCTACCTATGGAGCTAACAGGTTAAAAGGAAGTTAGGCTGAATGAGTTGGGCATGTTAGACTTGGATAGGGTTTTGGTTGAGCATTGAGTCGAGAGTTCGAAAATTCTCTAGTTTATCAAAGCCTCTTTATGTGTAGTTGTTTGGCAGATTGAATGAAGAACAATGTTACTGGTTCTAATTCTATTTGCGTTATGATTTTTTTATTTTCATTTAGCTCTGGGCCAAGTAATGAGGCGGTGACTAGGGGAGAAGGCCAAGGACAAGACGGT